ATTTATTCCTCTGTTTCTGAGCTGAGCAGGTGTGCCAGGTGCCATGCGGAGGCAGAGACTAATCAGATGGGATCCTGAACATGAAAAACTCATGGCCCAGCAGGTTGATAAGTTGTTGTATAAACGTCTCCCCCTGAAGCACTGAGTCTTCCTTAAGGACAGATGCTCTGGGGAGGTAATCCAAACTCACCACAAAGATGAACTTTCTTACACTGCTGAGATTTGATGGTGGTGTCTGGGGGGTATTTGTTACGTAGTATCACCTGGCCTAGCCTACCTACTGACAACATATGATCATTCCCAAAACTGAAAATAAGAATCACTAGAGGTAATTACCAAAACTCCAGATTCCTGGGAGCCAAGTCCGATCTACTGAATGAGAATCTCCAGGGGAAGGGCCTAGTAGGCTTTCACTTTAGTTTCAGGAGAGTCAAGAAAGACTAGTAATTAACCTTTTTTTTTTTTTTTTTTTTTTTTTTTTAGTAATTAACCTTTGAAAGCATTGGGAGCCAGCTCCATAGCAAAGTGGGCAAGTTCTTTGCATAGGGAACTGGAGCCCACATGGCCATCTGTGCTTCAAATCCCAGCCCTTTCTGGCGAGTGCACATGCCCTATAGCAAAAACCTCTCAAAAAAGCAAAACAAAACGAACCACACACTTGTATGTGCTTGCCCATAATCCCAACAGAAGGGATTGCAGGGGTGCTCATGCCCCACTGAGAGTTCTTTCTCTCTCACTCTCTGGTGACCACGCACACCTTCTAGCAATAAAACAACAATAATTTTTTTTTTTTAATTAAGACTAGAGCTTGGTTATATTAGAGAGAAGAAAGCCCCAGGGGTGGGAACAATAGGAGGAATACTAGGGACTAGAATAAGAGAGTATGTGAGGGACAGTGGCATGCTCTTGAGTGGAAGAGCAGGTAGGAAGTCTGAGCTAATATCTCGTGAGTATTGGGAAACCAGGGACGTTTCCTGAACAGAGGCTAGTCTGGCTATATTGATGCCTTAGAAGGGGCTCTCAGGTCTGGAGGCTGCATCGAAACTGTGCATGATCCAGGTGACACCGCATAGGATTACTGGATGGGATGAGCTCAGAATCACTAAGAAATGAGAATTACCACTGTCATCACATCCCATGTGCGTGGCCATCTTTAGAGCGCTAACCATATTTGAGTTGTACATCTTTCACTCACTCATTCATTCATTTAACAAATACTTATTGAGTACTTTCCACATGCCACCGTACCATGGGATAGCCAAAAAGGAACAAAGCAGCAAAAATCTCTGCTTTTTCTGTCTTTCTGTCTGGGTAAAGGTGTGACGGAATATGCCGTTCACTCCATCCACATTTGTGGTGAACACGTACTTTGTGCCTGACCTGTGTTGGTTGCAGGGGAGAAGCAGACAGAAGTCAAATCCAGCCTGGCCTGGTGGTGAAGCAGATGTGGCCCACACTTCGTGGGGTTGTCTGCCTGGATGGCTACCAGAGGCTTGAATGGAGCCTTGAAGGAGGAGAAGCCTGACCGTCAAAGGAGGGGCTAAGCAGTATTTTCTAGGCAGGGGAAATGCTCAGTGAAAGACTCAAGGTGTTTGGAGTCCGTGATTTCTTGGTGCTACTGAGGCCTGGGGTCTGCGGCACAGGAAGGTAATCTGGGAGGCCATGGGGTGTTGGAGTTGTTGGTGCAGAAGGCTGACATGATCACATTTGTTGGGGAGACAACCACATAGTGGTAGGAGAAGATGTGAAGAATGTGAAGTAAATATTAGGTCACTGGGAAAGTCATGATGTATTTTCCTGTTCCACATTTGTGGTGAACACGTACTTTGTGCCTGACCTGTGTTGGTTGCAGGGGAGAAGCAGACAGAAGTCAAATCCAGCCTGGCCTGGTGGTGAAGCAGATGTGGCCCACACTTCGTGGGGTTGTCTGCCTGGATGGCTACCAGAGGCTTGAATGGAGCCTTGAAGGAGGAGAAGCCTGACCGTCAAAGGAGGGGCTAAGCAGTATTTTCTAGGCAGGGGAAATGCTCAGTGAAAGACTCAAGGTGTTTGGAGTCCGTGATTTCTTGGTGCTACTGAGGCCTGGGGTCTGCGGCACAGGAAGGTAATCTGGGAGGCCATGGGGTGTTGGAGTTGTTGGTGCAGAAGGCTGACATGATCACATTTGTTGGGGAGACAACCACATAGTGGTAGGAGAAGATGTGAAGAATGTGAAGTAAATATTAGGTCACTGGGAAAGTCATGATGTATTTTCCTGTTTTTCTATGAAAAAAAATGTGTCATGACTTTTGTGATGACCTAATAGTGTCCAGTAGGAAGACTGGGAAGGAGGATGCTCTGGGGTCTGTGTGGGAAATGGGGAGTGGCTAGGCTGCCCTGAGGGGTGGGAGTGCAGAGGGGTGGGAGGCAGCTTTGAATCTGGCTCTGGAGTTGAGAGAGGAGCTAGAACATTGTGGTTTTACAAGACTGGACTTGGAAATCAGAAGGTGCAAATGGAGCTCCAGCCCTGTTGTGAGCTTGGATACATCATTCAACCATGCAAGGCCTCAGTCTCCTGATCTGTAAACTGGAATAATAGCGTGGTTGCTGCGAGGTTGGGAGGTTTCTGAGAGCTACCGTTATAGGGGTGGGATTCAGTGGACGCTCAGAACACGGTACCGTTATTATGACACTCTCAGGGGAAGGCAGGAACAGCTGTCTGTCTGCTTTGAGTGGCAGGGATCATGGAGATGCCATCTCCAGAGAAAGGAGCACTTTGGGGAGGGTGAAGACCCACCATCTTTTAAAATTATTATTACTATATTTTAACTTTATTTATTATTATTTTCCAATTTGACCAGAGAGAGACAGAGAGAAGAGAGAGAGAAGGAAAGGAAGCCACCAGGTCCAGGACTTGAACCATGGTTGGCCATGTGGGAGTGCGGCACCTTTAACTGCATGCCACTTGCAACCTAGCCCCACTGTCTTTGAGAGCCCCATGTCAAAGCCCTGGCTTCAGGGCTAGCTGATGGTGTGGAGGTTAAAGTAGCTGGATCCCACATGGTCATTTGCGCTGTTCGAGTCCCAGACTCAGTGGCCTGAAAAAAACATACCTGGCGGGACCAGCAGTTAGTGTAATAGCTATATCACTAGACTCTCACGTTAGTCAACCGTGGTTCCTGTCCTGGACCCAGTGGCTTAAACTCACACCAGGTACATGTGTGTGTGCCCAAGATCCTGAGAGGAGAATGGAGGAGAAGGGATCGTGGTGTGGCCATCCCCCCTGGAGGGTGATTTCTCACTTTCTGTCTCCCTGTCGCTCTCTTTCTGGCGAGCGCACACGCCCTATAGCAGAAAACTCTCAAAAAAAAAAAAAAAAAAAGCATACCTGGCATGTGCATGTCCAAAAACTGGAGAGGAGAATGGAGAAGGGATAGCTATTCAGGGTACAGCTCATTCTCACTGTCTCTCCCTCTCCCTCCAACAAGCACATGCACTCTGTAGTAGACAAAAAAAAAAAAAAAATCTCTGGGGGAGGTGATTTCTTGTATTTTGTCTCTTTATCTCTCTGTCTTTCCAAGTGCATGTGCCCTATACCAAAATCTCTCAAAAAAAAAAAAGCCCCGGTCTCACTCACTACGGTTGTGGACCTGCTCCTGTCTGGTAGCACCTTTTGTCTCTGTATTCTGGTGCCAGCTCAGTGCCAAGGCACATGGCAGGTGTTACCTTTGAGAAGAGGGATCTGGCTTGCAGAGATGGATACTACGGATGCTGCAGGCGGGCAGGTGTATGGGGAAACAAAGAGAACTCAGGGTAGAGCTCAGGGAACGATGTTCAGGGGCTGAGAGCGAAAAGAGGGGTCTGGAAGAGGCCGAGAAACAACATCCCAAGGTTGTGTGTTTGTGGGGGCGACAGGAAGCAGATGGCAGGCGAGGAGCCAAGGAAGAGAGAGTTTCAAAAAGCAGGAGGTCATCAGGATCGAATGCTGCTGAAAGGTTGCAGAGGGTAAGCATGAAGAGTGCTTGAGGGATCTGGCAGGGGGAGGTACTTGGCAAAAGCAGGGTCAAGGTCCGTTCTGTCAAGGCCAGAGTCCCACTGCCTAGTTGGAGGAGTGGATGTGAGGTGAGGGGAGGAGAGCTGGGCAGTAAAGGAAGGGGGATGCAGGGCAACTTGGGCCCTCAGGAACAACAGATTTCTCCCTCTGAAAAGAACAGATTTCATTTTTTGCAGTCAGAAGCATCTAAAGCTGGCCAGGAGGTCTCGAGAGGTAGTGAGCACCCTGTCCCTGGAGGCAGACAAGCTCCGAGCACCACCTCCGTGGGGATGCTCAGGCGTAGAGTGGGGAAGGCCGTCCCAAACAAGCCCCATGTCCTTCTCAGTCAGCGCTTGGCTGATTCCTTGCATCCAACAAGCTACACAGAGGGTCAGCCTTGCTATTTCCAGTGTCCAAGAGCGTCCTGCAGGGACACACACACACAGGCAGAGAGGTGGTCGTGCGCAGGCTCGCAGGGACACAAGCACACACAGCATAAAATCTTAGTCTCCTGGTGGGAAGGGATCCGCACCAGCTCTGCCCGGGTTATTTCCTAATTCATTCCCTTGCCCGCTCTTGCTGCCGTTCCCCTCACCCCCAGGCCACCCCGGTATCTCTGTGCAGCCTCCGCGTCTCCTTTCTGCCGGTCTCCGCGCTCTCTCTCGGCTTCTCTGTCTCCGCCCTCCCCCACCTGCTTCTAGGCCTCTCAGTCCTCCTCCCGTGTGTCCCCCTCCCCGGACTACAACCCCCAGGCGCCCCCAGCCCTGGGCGCTGCGCATGCCCCCTGCTCCCCGCCCCCTCCCGGT